CATCTAAAAGTTCACTTGTAACTCTCCTCACAATTTCGAGTTGATATTTCTCGACATTGATTAAGTTTTCGCCTCTTCTCTTATGCTTCGATCTCCCTTTGAGTTATTCCCACATTTGCTTAGTAATTATGTTAAATTAATCTTTAGAATTTTCATCTCACTTTGAAATTCATCTTAGAATTCAACTGAAGCTCTTCTGGAAATCTCCTTAGCATTTACCAGGGATCAAAAGTTCTTCAGAATTACCATGGAAGCATTACATAGATTTCACATGAAGTTTTTCTCATAACTAAAATGGATTTCCTGTCAGATATCCCTTAGAATAAGGCTTGTTCGCGACAAAATCTGAACGCGTTAATTTTGGAATAAAACAAATACTGCAGTCAGTTTGTTTAATTTATTTTTTAGCATCGTTAATCATTTAAAAAAAAAAAAACAACTTGTCATTACCTAATAAGGCTGCATCAAACATTGACGAACTTTCAAGTTTACTCCAGCCATGAGAGTCAGTGCAGACCTTTTTGTAACTTATTTTGCTGCTTTTGTCCAAGATTTTCAAAATATTTCTTTAGTTGTTGCTTGTTGTATGCACTGGGAGAGCTCGCTCTTCACGAGAGCCCAATATCGCTCGATAAGACGTAACTCCGGGCAGTTATGTGGACTAGCCTTCTTCGGTACAACATTGACTCCGTTTGCTTTATTTCGTCAAATATTCATTCTCGTCAAATATTCGCTTTGCAACGTGTTTTGGCCGTCACATTCTGCCGACTTCATTCCTTGTCAATGCTTCGAAATATGTATGAAAGTTGCTGACATTTTTATTTTTCGAGCAACAGTACGTACCGAAAGATCTGGCTTCCTCCGTAATATTTGTATCACCTTCACGTCCTTCTCGTGGTTCCTCAAATCCGTTTTTGTTCTGCTAGTTGTTGTCAAACGAGTATCGAACGATTTTTAAACGCTATGAACAGTGCTTGTAGGAAAACCAAGCTTTTTGGCAAGTTTTCTGATCGACAGATCCGGATTATCATTGCGGCTCTTCTTTCGACGCCATTTTCGACTGAGCTCTTCTAATGTAAACAAAGGATGTATTTTCAGAAAGAACAGACATATGTAGGTCCACCACTCCACCGCACGAAATCTTTCACTAGTTGATGAGATATTTGAGGAGATGTATGTGCAAGGGGTGTCCAGATTTTGTCGCGAACAAGCCTCAGTCCTTGAAATTTCTCTCTAACGATCGCTTCTACATATTGAAAGCCCTCCTCTCACACTCCAACTTGAAAAAGTGGTGTAGGCATGTCAAAACATTTATTCGATCTCGTTGAAGACTTTTTCTTAAAACATCTGGCACCCCTGCCCTGAGTACTCAAGTGTGATTTGTATTGGTATGAATTAAAGATGCAGACCCTTTTTCCCAAGAACACCAGAAACATGTTCTAATGTGGCCGATGGGTTTGGTTATTCAGTTAGCATGTTTTTAATGTATCTTTGATTATAACATCAAAATCACAGAATTTAGACGCTCTGCCTTTGACATATCGATGTATAGAATCATAATAACACTACATCGACCAAAAGAGTCATCGACTTGTGGAAATATCGACTTCTGGAGATGGTAAAACAATATTATCGTGTCAGAGATCATATATCATACCGTATGCGTGATATTGTTTGCACCATCGTACAAATAAGGTTCCCGTTTCACCTGTGCATACAATGCCTTGGTTTTCTTTGCATGCACGTAACCTATAGCTCATACCGTAGTAGGCTGTGTATAAAAGAAAATGATTTACTCAGTTTGACAGTTGCACCATGACGAAGTGGCAGCGTATTCGTGATTTGTTCCACGCGCAAATTTCGCAAAAAAAAAACATTTCAATCGCCGTGGGAGTGTCCCGGTGGACCGTCAAAAAGGTTTTAGACTGAGAAAAGAAAAGACAACTATCCGCGAAGGTGGCCACAGGTCGTCCGAGGTCAGCTCGGGTTCCGAGGGTTATCGCTGCTATCGAAAGGAAGATTCGTGTGAATCCAGTGCGTTCAATAAGGAAAATGGCAAAGGAACACGAGATCAGTGACTTTAGATCGTAAAGGAAGATTGCGGGGCAAAGTCGAGAGCACGGAAAAAAAAAACTCATATGATTACCAACCACATCCGGGAGCTACGAGTCGAACGATGCAAGAAAATCTTGAACTTCCTTACGCGAAAAAATCCGGTAATCCTGTTCACCGACGAGAGCATGTTAACCGTCGATCCCGTATCAAATTCCAGATCCGACCGGTATATTTGTTCTCTTTCGGTAAAAGGCGTGGCTGACGAGCACAAAAACGTGTATCTGACCAAGCATTCTGCTAGCGTTATGGTGTTTGGATTGGTGGCTTCCGATGGCAAAAAAAAATGGACCCGGTGTTCATTCCAGAAAACGACAAGGTCAACACGGAGGTCTACATCGGGATTTTTAGTAAGTATGTTCTTCCGTGGATCAAAGAACAGTGCGGTCCAAAGCCAAATGTTGTATTTCAACAAGATGGGGCTCCGTGCCACACCTCGAACCGCACTCAGAAGTGGTTGCAGGAACATCTTCCGTTCTGGGCGTAGGATATGTGGCCGCCATCCAGCCCCGATCTTAATCCGCTGGATTACTCAATATGGCGCGTCATGAAGGCCAAGGCCTGTTCTAAACGCCACCCGAGTACAGCAAGCCTCAGACAAACATTGACCCGTACCTGGAGAGAAACGGATCCAGACTACATTATTAGAACCTGCCGTGCATTCCGGAAACGCGTGGGGAGGCTGTAATTGCAGCAAGTGGACACTCGATCGATGATTAACATAGTTTAACACTCTGAGAAACATCCCCCTGTGACTAAATAAAAAAAACTCGAAAACGAAATTTTTGAGAATTTTTTTAATTTTGACATTGAGTAATTGTGCAAACATTATCACGCATATGGTATATTATCATGTCAAAGAAGCGGTTTGTGGACTAAACTGGGCTACAAATAAAAAAAAATAGTGCGACGAAATATTGTCAGGTTTTGATTGCCTTTTACATGGAAATTTTGTAATGTAATTCAACTTTAAGTACACCATTTTATTCAGATTGAATGTAAACTTTGTTAAGTACAAAGATGATAGTTGTTTATGAATAGTTAACTATAGAAAATTGATCAAAGTTTAGCCGTAATAAACCAATCACGTGCGCGCTTGCTATGACTATCGAGAGAACAGAGAGACAATTTGGAACCACTCAATACTCAATGTTTTTTCTATTCATTGACCTACATCAGCAAGAATAAGAAAAAAGCTGGGGCTTTTCTAAATGCTTAAGTAACATAGAAAATTTGACTGCAGTTTGACACTGCACGGTTTGACTGCAGAATTTGATGAAATTTGCTAGCTGAGCTTGACCATCCCATAGAGATTTTTGAGTGCTAATGAAAATCCGAGGAAAATACATAACAAACCGCTGTCAAACCTATGATGACAGATCAAATTTCATACATTTTTTAGTTTAGTCAGAAAACAATAATCAACAACTTTATACGGCGAGACCCGCTAGTGTACTGTACATGCGTTGAACGTCACTAATCTCTAGATTGATATATTGATTTACTCAATTACAACGTTTGCCCCTTTATAGATTTTTAATTGAGCAGAAGTAAAGATACAGTGCATTAGATTTAGTTGAAACTGTTGAAAGTCACTTTTCCGTCATAGTTCTACAACATAAAGATTTGGGATGTCAGTTTCACTCTGATTTCTAAAGTTGTTTTGCCATGACTAACATTAGCAAGTTTCCGAAAGTTGGGTGAACATGTTTGGAACCTAATTATGAATAATAAAGGAACTGATTTTCTAATTTCAAAAATTAAATCTTAACTTTAGGATTTTCTCAAAAACCGCCCAATTTAAATGAAAATTGATAGTGAACTGTTCATTTTAGAGTAAAATGCCTTAACCAATTATTAAATTTTATTATCGTTAATATATTACTGAATGCAGCAAATATAATCTCGTAGTCTTACGATAGCAATCCGGTCGTGCTGTGGACAAAACCCTTTTTTTTTTGCTTTCTACAAGTCCTCAACACACACAAAAATGCTGAAAATTGTATCAAGTTTTATATTTCGGAATATGTCCAGGGTTCCAATATCTGATATTAAGACAAATTCTCCGAAATATTATATTCTTGATATTCTTTCCAAGTGCTAGAGCCTTGAAAATGCAAAAGGCTCAGAATCGAAATAATGAAAAACTTTCAAATTTTGAAATATTACACATTCATTTTTGTCCCAGAAATTTTAAAAGTTCACCAATTTTTAAAATGTATTTAGTATGTTCAATATCTCACACAACTTTCATAGACCTAGCATTAAAATGTGTGTGACCATGTCTCCCTAGAAAAATTATCTAACGACGGCAATGTTCACCGAGTTGGCAGAAGCATGCAAAATCAAACTAAAGCCAAAATAGCTTGAATATAATTAAATATATAAACACCCATCGATCCCCCGCATTCCCCTTTTTGGCGTGTTTTCCCATCGCTTGTTGCTGCTGCTGTTGATTCTCCAACAACGCCAACGGCCTGCTTGTCGTGCGGCATCCTAAGAGCACGGTGTTGATGTGTTATTGTCGAATTTGGTCAATAAGCAAAGCGAACAAAAAAATAATAATTCCATAACAAGAATCTCAGCTTGTAGACTGTCAAATTTGCAACACTACCTGTTCTGCTGCTGGGCGCTAGTCCGAGTTTGTAGCATGAGAGAAGCATGGACGGAAACCGCGAGAGAGCGAGTGCGAGCGAACGAAGCCAGTCACGTGCTTGCTTCTCGGCTCCGTGCGGGTTCTCTCTCCCTCTCCGTCTCCGTCGTGCAACATCGCCGCTCGTCGCAGGCGGCGGCAGCGGTTGTAGCACGTCCGGGTAGGGGGGTCAACCCGTCGACGACGTCGGCTCGCGCCTCGTCGGTCGGTTAGGTATTTAAACTGATAGCAACCTAAACGTATCATGCATTCATTGGTTTGCTTGCTTTTTGCAAAGTAACAGAAGAAGAATTGTTCGTAATTTTCGCTAACTCGAGTCCCTTCAACAAAAGGAAGCAGTTTTGCTTGAAATCAACAAGTGAATATAAAAGTGAAAAAGTTTTTCAAGTTCAACGATAGACAAACGAGTGCCAGTCACAACTCGTGGTCAAAGCGGAGGATAAAACAAATCGGCAAGGATTATTCTACCGACGAGCCTAGCAGCATTAGACGTAACAATTCCAACAATTCGACAGCAATTTCGCGCTGAAAATCACCTTACAAGTGTTTGAAAGTGAAAGGCACCTACTTTGCAAAAGTTTCAGCGATTAACTCAAGCAAGAGAACATTTTGCGGAAAAAGTGATCAAAGCAGAAAAATAACAGCAGCTTAAACAGCTCAGTTCTTCAAATCTTATACAACAGTCAACTAGTAAAACAAAAATAACACATACCAAAATGATGGCCGTTGCTGCTGCCCAGAAGAACCGCGAAATGTTCGCCATCAAGAAGTCCTACAGCATCGAGGTAAATATAGTGAATTTCGATCCTTTCAGAGGGGGCACAAGTGAGTGATCTGAAAAATTCCAAGTTCTTCGGGGGAAAAAAAGAAGTGATTTGTGTGGTAAATTAGTGATTTCCGTTCCTTGGAAAATTTTGCTCAATAGTAGTAACACGCACATTGCGTGATTAGGAAAAAATCCCCTCTCGTGCCTGGTGTAACAAAAGATTGTCTTGACCGCAGCTACTTCCTACTTTGAACCGGACAACTCAGCTCATTAATCAGCACGGCTGCTCGGAACTCCCTTCCCCTTCTCCCTCGCCACACCACTCAGAACTAACTAGCGAAACTATTTCCTTTGTTCTCCACACCTGTTTCACGTCGTGTGGAGCGATCGATCGATCATTTATTAATCTCAATGATCATAATCTTCCGTACTACAAAGTTTTCCCTCTCACATACCGATGGCTGGTGGGTTGTTGATTTTATATAACCGCACTCAGGCTCGCACGAAACCGCAATTACAACATTACCGGAGACTGCTTGGATCTCAGAATGTTAGAATTAGCACGCCAGGTTCTACCACCGCCCGCCGTAGCTCGATCTAGATCAATGGTGATCGTTTGGAGTGGTAATTAAGAAACATCAATGTAGCGATGATGGCATAACCAATCACGGTGCCCCTCACGGTCATCCAGATCGCGATCGCCATCACGAGAGTACGAAATAATTGTAAATAATAAAATCTCATTTAAGCCACCGCCACCACCGCTACGTTCTAGGCCTTTGATGCTGGTGGCAGAGGTAGATCCGATTCACTTTCATTCGAACGGTGATCTCCACGCTGAGAATTGCCCCGCTTATTGGTGCGATCAACATTGGTGCAGTTTCGAACTCAGAACTCAAGTCGAAACCTAAATCCATCCCTGATCGATCGGTAGCATTCTGCACGCGATCGCTAATGTATGGAAATGAGATGCCAATTGAACAGCCACCCCCCAATTGATGGTGCTACCGAATGGGCTACCGCCGCTGCACCACGGCGATCACACTCGATCGAGCGCTGTTCACGCGGTGAACGGATAATTGGAAACCAGTTAAACGCCGCAGATTTGACATCGTACACTGCCAAACCCCATAAGCCAGCGCGCTCCGTTTGGCCCAGTGATCGTGATCTTCGGAGAAGGCCGAAACTGAACGATCATTGCAACAATGTTCTAGAAGTTTATTTTTTTTTATTTTTGCGCAAACTTTGAAGAGGTCAACAAGTCCATTAATCCATCTTGGAGACCATGATCGTTCCAGGGCCTGGAAGTGCAATCTCCTGTACGGTAGCTGACCAGCTCTGGACAAACAGTGCCGCACTTGCATAAGCATACTTTTCGGTTACGTCCATTTAGCACTGTTTGTTCCTGTGTCGTCCAGACGGCGATCGGTGGCCGCCCAACAGGTAGTAAGACGATCAGCCAATCAGACTTGTTCTTCTTATGCTGTTGCTTTTTCGTGGTGGCACTCCTCCGGCACTGGAACCTTTCACCACAGCCGGTGGCGATTATCCAAAATTGGCACAGAGCAAGGTCTCCCGTTGCCACCGCCAACCTGTTACACCACAGCAAATACTCGTTTGCGAGCGCGATCGGTTTTGCACCACATTGGCATTGAATTCGTGAAATGTGATCAAACAGGTTGACCCCTCGATTGCCAAGTCCGACGAACTTCTAGAAGTCTAGAACCGCCCTTGCGCGCGCCAGCAGTTAGAACGAATGATGTGGCATAATTATAGCTGACGATCAATGGTGATGATGAAGCATCCTTGAGCTTCCGCGTCCTGGGCACACACACACACACACACACACACACAAACAACTGCTTACATGGCTCATTACATCGGAAAGTGCCTTATTTTGCCAACGATCATTACCATAGAATGCGGTGCTAGTTTTGCAGTAACGACAGGTAATTCGTTGTTGTTGTCGGTTGTCGCTACCTGTGTTATGCACACTCGATCGTTCCGATTTCAATGTCAATAACACTGCAACTGCACCTGGTGGAGCGCCGGCGGGGATTTTTACAACGTTGTTATTTTTACACACACACACACACACACACACACACACACACACACACACACACACACACACGCTCTCTTTCAATCATGCTGGACGACGACGACAACGGCGAAGGCAGCGTTGATTGATGGGTTGTCACTTGGGACGAAGTCCAGTCCTTTGGCAGGCAGCGGCATGCGCCGGGTGGGTTTTCAATAGAATGCTAACACGCACCGGTCATTGAGATGTGCCTACTCCGAACCACGTCGACGAAGAAACGGACGGTGTGTGGCCTTAGAAAGGTGTTAGAATTTGCATAACTGGGTACCAAAGCCGTTTGAAGGTGATTCTTCAATGGTCTGGGGTGGATGCGCTGGGATGTGCCCAAATGCTACAACAGGGCATACAGTTGCTCGAACTGAGGCTCTTTTTTTGACAGTTCAAAGCAATATTTTGGTTTGGATCCGAGTAGTAATTTTCGATTCACCGATAAAGCTCAATTTTGTCCACTCATAGGAATCAATTTTGTTGTGGTCAACAGTAAAGGCCCAAGCGTAATGACAGTGGAAGCGCAACGGCAGCGGCAGCGAAAAAGCCCAATCTGAGTAAGCCTACTTGTCGGATGTAAAACTGGTTTGAACCTAATGGACTTCGGTTAGGCATCTTGATGTAATTTGTGACCGCAGACAAATTTGTCGTTTCCGATCCGCTACCGCCTACATTGCGTTTGGGCCTTAAGGAGCTACGACAAAACCAGCTTGCTTGGATCGTTTTTTTATTCCAATATTAAAATGAAACTAAAATAAAGATTACCTTCGAGTATACAATTCTAGTGACAGGATATCTTCTAAAGCAATTTTGTTGCAAAGATGTTTCCGTACTGTTAGTATTGGGCGATATTTTATAAAAAAAATCATTAGAATTGAATAGTTTACCTTCATGGTTTGACTATATCAAACAGCTTTTTATCTGTTATTCAAACAAAAATATGCAATCTATTTAGTTAAGAAGAAGTACTAGATGCTTTATGCCCATTATTATGCTATCAAAAAAATGCATCTAGCGTCTCTGTTTACAAACTACTCTAGACAAACATTTGAAAAGGTCCAATCTTCTTTGATCGATTCTCTTCATCGACATTCTCTTTATATAAACACGGCTATGCAAACAGATTTTCCACACAGTTCGATGAAGGAGGTTCTCGTTTAGCCTCCAGAACGACATAGACAACAGAGCAACTCGATGAAGGGACTCGATCAATGCAAATAGGACCTTTTGAAGTGTTCATCAAAAGTTGTTCGAAATGGTTGCGTCTCGCCATTGCCTTCAGAAAATAGCTTATCACGCTCACTGATTGAAGGCAAGTCATCACGTGAGTTGCTCATTTATGTGACGCTTCACTGATCGTTTGTTATCGTTGTTTGACTGCGAGCAAGCAGATCTAATCGCTCAAAACGAAATTAGCGCTGGATTTCAATTTCTGAATTTATCAAAATGAAAAGGACTTGAGAACAGAACACTTTACAGTTAAAGTGATCGCTTTATTACCTGTAACCCATCCGCGATGGAGCTTCTGATTTAAATCAAAGAAATGTTCAATTCTAGATTTTAATCAAAGCTTATTCAAACATATCTCCTTATGAATATAGTTTCCCATTCACAAGAAGACTTAACTTGTGCAATTGTTGAGTTCGTTTCCTGTATGGTTTGAATAATAAAATCTTCGTTCAAAGTTCAGCAAAACTGTTGTGAAAATTTCAAAAACCGATTTCGAAAGCTTTATTCGGGATCGCCCAATGCTAATGGAAATGAATCAGCATTAAATTGTATCCTGAAAAGTTTACTACAAGCTCCATTTCCATCTAAAAAGGTCTCTGTTGACTTAATCCATGAACATTTATGATGTGAAATAATCATTCTTTTTTCCTCAATTATGGGCTGTTTACACTAACGCTCAGCCAGTTCAACCAACTAGCACGAATTTCAGTTGTTCTTGAATTCTCATGCTGGTAGACGCTGACGATCTGTTTACATTACTCTGGTGACTTTTTAGTACAGTTTTTACAAACAGTCAGTGTTGGCAATATCAACAATCATATGGTATTTTTACACTCTCATACGCTCTCAATATCACGCGCGATATTGGAACAAAATATCATGATTGATATTGATTTTACAAGCTCCATTGATACTGCGAGATTATTCACAACATTTACAAATAAAACTGAGAGTTGACTCGACACAGAAATGATTCCATTGCACATCGTTCTGTTGGAAAGAGAATGCATAGTTTGCTATCTCTCTTTACTCTTCCCCGACACGAAGCTACAGCCGCCAGCAGTGACGGTAGTTTCGGGTCGCATTCGGGTGTAGAGCAAAAATCATGAAACTCAAACTAACCACGGTTTGGTTAGAATTGTAGCTGGTTTGTTTTGTTAGCTTGATATTCGTAGCTACGATATCACAGCTTGTAATATCACAGACAAACAGACGTAACTCTTTGAAAAACTTGTTCTTGAAAACATAGTATCTCAAAACATATAACCTCAGTAACGACATCTCTCTGGCTTCTCGCGGAAAACAAGCTTGCTCGCTAACTCGTAAATAATATTGCATCAAAGTTCTATAGAATATATAGAAACGTCAAAGTGATCCGATGCCAGCGCTGCGGCGAGTAGTTCGCGGAACTGATAATATTCAAATCAACCGTTAAATGCATGAACGAAGATACACAATGAAGAGTTACGTCTGTTTGTCTGTGGTAATATCAACAATCAATACGAAACTAACGATTTTAAATTGGCTCACTACTTTAGTAGCCTATTGGTCCCAAGCAAACGATTAACGTACCCTATTCTAGTTGAAATTCTATTACTACACTATGTTTGTTTTGATTCGCTATGAAAGTTTGACAGATAACATCAGGGGTGTGTGGATTCATGCAGAACATGCAGGGGTGAGTGAAATAGCTTGGGACTGGTTGGGACCGTTGTTCTGGTACTGAGTGAGCCAAAAATAATAATGATTTTCTTCGGGACCCAGTGGTCTTAGAGTTACCTCTATGGTAATATCATCCGCAGTTGTTTGCTAGTTCTCATTTGAGATCGCCCAATTCTATTCGAATCTTTTAAAATACGGTGATCAGTAGTTGCTAAATTTTGCCATCATATCTTCAATCAAATCAACAATAATTCATCCCTAGAGTCGTTTTCAAATCCACTCGTGTCATTTCATCGAAAATCGAAAGTCGCCCAATCTTGCTTGGAGAAATGTATTTTTCGATGTATGTATCAAGATACATTATAAGCCAATTCAATATTTAATCACATCCAACTTTTTTAGTTATTGGGGGAACGAAACTACTGCGTACATGGCTTAGAACTTTTGTAGTAACCGACTAAAATTAAAACATCATCGCTATCTCGGTAGCTGATGTAAGTGATTGCATGAAATACCAAAGATCGATTATAGATCGCCCAATCCTTATTGAGGCGAATAAAATGTTTACAGGAAAATGATGTTGGAACTCATCAAGATGCAAAGTTTATAGATTTTCTCAGATTGATTTGTAGCACGAGATCTTTTTTAAAGGATCGCCCATTGCTAATAAATAACCCACTGACTCTACAATGAAATCTATTATTTTTTTTATGATTTCTTGAAATCTAATAGATGAGATTGTCATTGTGGCACTAGATTAAAGGAGTACAACGTTACTACAATAACTTCTTTGATATACTTGATTCAAATTCAACACTCACTAATCGATTAAAAACCATCGATTTAAATCCTTGTGTCGCCCACTTTTACTTCAAATCTGAAATAAAACTCATCAACAGTTTAAACGTAAGAAAAATAACATCTACCACACGATATTCCTCTCGCACCACTAATCCGGTGTCGTGAGTTAGCTGCGAAATTATGCTTGCGATTGTGATGCAAGAGAAAGCGCGCTGCCAGCCAAAGCTGTGCATCTGTTTTCAGTCGAACGGGCAACATTTTTGCAGATCACTTATGGCGGTAAGCTCCAACTCGGATTAACCTGGGACGGGACTTGACAATCGGGCAGCGATTTCGAGCCAATTTGCTGTCAAATCCGAGCCAGTTGCTGATTGGTCGATTTGACAGTAGCAATCGAGGAAAAAAGGACAGAGGGATCACATAAATCTGACTGGCAGTGATGTCGGAATCAATGTTGACGTCAAAGACGTTTGTTTGGTTATATTTGCGAAAGTAAAGTTGGTAAATAGGATCCACGGTGTGCTTTAAGCGATGGATATTCTTGTTTGTTTGTGGTTGTTTTTATTGTGTTAAGCTAAAATGATGTGCAAGATGCTAAGCTGCGGTAGAAAGTCCAAATAAAATTAAAATAGAAGAATCATTCTGCAATCCTGGCATCATTGGTCAACTCCGTCTAACACCATGCACTAATTTTCGACGCGCATTCATTAAAAACATGAAGAAGAGTGAGAAGCTGGATTGTCAAGTCACGGGGATTAACTTTTAATACCGACCCTGACTGGATGATCTGCAAAGTGTTTGCTTAGAATCGTGTTGATTAACTCTGATGTCGACTTCAAAGCAGCCGGACATTCTTGAACGGAATTTAATCCGAGGTTGGAGCTTACCACTATTAATCCACTTGGATTACCCGCTAATCTGGCTCTCTTTAATCCGACGACTCGGTAATCCAACATCACGGACTCTTATTGAGCTTTTTTTACATTGTGAGGCTGGTAACATTGCTTTGTATGGATTTCACTATCGGATTATTGGATCGTCGTACATTTTCATTCAATTCTAGACCATTCAGTCCGTAAAGATAACTTAATCGATCGAATAATAACAAAACAAGAGTGATGTTTTCGCCGCACAAATGGAACAATCAACAAAGTTTCTGAGCATGCATAAGGGCGTATAGCTAAGCGAAACAATTTTCTAGAATTTGTTCAAAAGCAACAGCAAGCGGACCGAGAAACGTTAAATCTAGCGAGTTATTAGCAAAAGAGAAAACCGACGAAGAGAATTGATCCTCGCGTTTACACCCTTATGCATGCTCACTGTCGAATTGTTCGAGATTTCTCGCTCAAATGACCATGATCGATTATCTTCATCGACTTTCTCTTCCGATCACCATGGCCGTGTAAAAGACATTTTTGGACAAGCTGACATTTTTGGGCATTCTGAAATTGTCCGAATACGACAGGACAAAATCGCTTACTCTTTCACACTTGAATCGCAGTGCTGAATGCTAGAAAAAGTAGTCTATAGCAGTCATCCTAACCTCTATTTTCATCACATTGATGTGAACTACGCAGAAATTCTTGATTGCTGCCCCCGAGTCCACCATCGAATACGAACAATACGTCAGGCAACGGTAAAGTAATCAAGTTATTAACGACACCCGGTTCCCTCTGTCAGTCAGACCTTAAAATTAAACTAAATCATTCAAAAAGTTATTTCATTCTCCAGATTGGGGCATCAAATTAACGATATCCAAAAAATTCAATTAGCACTCCAACCGAGACAATCCAATTTCCCGCAGTGCAAAAGGAACGGACCACCGATCGGAATCAATAATCCGTGAATAAAATCCACCATTCCAAAACTATATGATACGTGAAAAAGCTTCCTTCGCTTCGATGAAGTCGAACGCTATCCTTTGCTGACTTAATCCCATCAGTTCCGGCTTGTTCAAATGCCATTAGCCCGATAAGCTTCGGATTACATCAGCCAAGTTCGCTAAGTAAACAAAAAATCATCCAATTAGCAATCGGAAAATTTCCTGCTCGACTTGAGTGCAAAAGGTGATTACCCTTACAATCTCCTTCGGTTTTCGCACCATCGATCTGCAGTGAACCCAATCATGACCCACTGGAGGACTGGCTGGGGGTGACCTACAGCAAAATTCCAAATCAGAGCAGAGCTCGGCTTCGCTCGATCGACCGCTCGCTTGCGTTCAACCCTTAGCTCAGTTCTAAGGCAGCTCATAAATCGCGCTCCTATAAATAGTAATTGCTTTTTTGAAGGTGAATGTCAATTCCGCCTCATCCAGCCAGTCAATCCCCGGTGAGTGGGCTCATGACTCATGAGATTTTTTTTATTATTATTATTTTCAAGTTGAGCTACTTGCGCTCATTTAATCTACCTGCTCCGCAGGGCTGCGGTGGTGTTCCGGTTGTGGTGTTTTTAGCACGCAATTATCGCTCAACAAACTGCCGCCACTTCCGCATTTGCACATTCTGTTCTAGCCTAGATCTAGGTTCATTGCAATTCGATCTAGATCCAGCTGATTTCGTCATTGTCGGATCTCGATCCAATTGGTCGGTTGTGCAATGCGTCGCACTGCAGCGACGGCGATTATTTCGCAACACTAGTTTGCTATTGACCACTCCTAGAGTTTGGTTTTCAACAGCCATAAAATGCACCGCGACACACAACTGGAAATGACCATTTTCGAGGATATGCGGTGCAATAGAAAATCACATATGCTTAGGTGAATTGCAACGGACGATCAGTCGATCGATGACAGTTGGTGGCACGTGCTGTGTGCATCATGCAAGCTTATCCATCAAGGATCCAAGAAGATCGGGTTCGTCGCTTGTTGTTGTTTGTTTCCGAACACTGTCACTTTCAATTTTGCCAATCCTACCACCTTGAACTCCAGTGGACTAACCTCGATCTTTTCCGGTTTCTCTTTTTTTCCAGAATGGTTACCCATCGCGTCGCCGTTCCCTAGTTGATGACGCCCGCTTTGAGACTATTGTAGTCAAGCAAACCAAGCAAACGGTTTTGGACGAGGCCCGCACTAAGGCCAACGGTAAGTGGATATGCCTTTCACCTGGTTCTAGACTGCACGGTCTCCCCGCTTTATCATTGTCATTAACGTTCATTTGGCCGATTGGCCATCGATTGCACTATGTTCTCATTATTTATCCTGTTTCTTTATTATTTTTCCGCTGTTTTTTATTTTGCTTTTGGTTCCTGATTTTCTGTTCCATTTGTTTGTGTGTGACACCCACCGCTCCTGGCACGAGTAGAAGATCCCAGCTTGGAAGATACCGTCGCCCAGGCCGAAGAACAGCAGCCACAAGGTAATTTGAAAGTTGTTCCCAACTATATTGCCACCGACCTTAATTCCCTCGACCCTTCCTGATTCCGTCGCGCACCGCCGCTCACCTTCAACGATTCTCGGTTCAAGCGCCAAAAGGACTTGCCCGTTTCCAATATACGTAGAAGCAGTAGCCGTTGTATTTTGCCTCCTCCATTTCTTGATCACGGTTGATCGCATCTAAGGTCAGCTCGCACCGGACTGCGGACCACGGAAACCGTACGCGCCACGCTCTGAAGCGGAAAACATCGTGAACCGCGCAATTGACACCGGTACCGTCACCGCTTTTCGGCTGTAATTTAATGTTTATGGTGGCCGCTGCCGTTGTTTTTAAATCTCCGGATCGTGATCGCGCTCAAACCCCTGGCATTCCGCTTCCTTATTAGATGGCGTTTCCACCGTTTGAACTTTTCGAACGCATCGGTTTTGTTTTGATTCCATCCATTCGGGCTTCTTGTGTAGGATCCAACTTGATCGAAACGAGCGAGCTTTACCTTTCCCCATTCATTTCCACGTAAAAAAAAAAACCTACCCCATTCTTTTGTTTATTGGATTCAGATTTTGATTTTGTTTTCTTTCTTTTCGTTTTATTTTACTTTCATTTCCCCCACCACACTTCCGATGCACGTGGATGTTGCTTGTTGCTTTCTGTGTAATTAGCTGACGATCTTCCGTACAAATCGGAAGAGACCGAGTCCAACGACAATCAGGATGAAATTGACGGTAAGTGTTTGTAAAATTGTGGCTTGACTTTAGTTGGGAAATCGCTAGAAATCCATCCCAGAAAAATCGCTTATTATTTTGAATTGTTAAACGGTCCTTTTTAGCACAAATCGCCCAATGTTTAAACGACGAAGCATTGTTTAACAAATCATGGTGGTTCAAAGAGTACTGAGTTCCAAAAATTAAGCTCTAAAAACCTACCGATTTTCAGCAAGTGATTTGCATTCTGAGTTCCCTCGAATCTTTCATTGAATTCTTGTGTCAGTTCTAGTTTTCCAAAATTAAATCGTTCAACCAATTTTCGATGTATGGCTAAATTAACTTTTCATTAAAAATATCAATAATGGTGCAGTGTGTTCACGGTATTATTTCTATAAAGTTCCACTTTTACTGAAAAGAACAAAATGTAGGAATTACCTCACCGCAAGAACCAATGTTTGACGAGAAATTGACGATTTTTTGAAAATCTCTATACTGCACGGTGCACTCTCTGACGTTTATAACATTCAAACTTGCGTAATCCCATTTCTAAGTGCGAAGTTTGCTATCCTCACTTCCACTTCAGCCAAACATTTTGTTTTGTTATTGTTATCCTCACTTTCGGACCATCAAAAAGGCTTTCCACGAGACAGTTGCGATCAGCTGACTTTTTTGTTTACCAAGAAATTTTGATAGATCACAGTAGAACTGACAGCTTATTGTCATATGAATTTCTGCTTTGTTTATGCATTCAGCATCATTAACACCAGATTTCTAGCTGTCAGTTCCACTGAAAAACGTGTCTTTGATTACCTTATACTCGTGCGCATAGAATGGACTATAGTACTCGTTTATCCATCACTGGCGGGGCGACATCTGTCGACGATGGTGGAAATTATAACTCAATCCTCAAGTGACAATTTGTGAGAACTAAATGCATTATTAGGATCGAACGTCGAAGATCGCTCAACATAGTGCACTTACAATAGCAACTAAGAAGATAGAGTTGGAATCTTGCCGTTCAAGGTTCCACTGGATGTGGTTTTCTAATGCCTTGTTGCATGGGAGAGAAAGGGTTGAACTCATATAGGTCGCCCAATTCTATGAGCTTTTTAGCAATAGTTTAAAACAAATCACGAGACAATTGACGGATGCACGGCGAATTATGTGTTCACTCTCTCGAGAAAAAAGCTGCGGGCAATGTTGAACAGTCACTTTTCTCGAGTGAGTGAACGAAAAATTCACCGTGCACTCGTCCATGCTGGCAGTTTTAATGCAACGCTGCAAAATTTGAAGTCTTTCCAAGTAACATGCAGAGAATTATCACATCGTCAAAAAACATATTTTTGAGCAAAATAAGTGATGAATCTTTTGCAAAATTGTGCTTTTTTGCCCTCATAATATTGAGCTTATCACAACAAAATATCACGCTTGATATTGATTCTACAAGCCCTTTGATACTGCGAGACTACTCATCACATATGAAATTGCAGCTAAGAGTTGACTCAACGCAAAATTGATTCCGTTGCACATAGGTTTGACGTAGGACTACGTCTGTGATTTCTATATGGGAGTACACTTTGTGAAAACCGAAAATTGAATATGTAACAAAATTGTGAAAGATTTTGAGCGTTAATAACTCAGCTGCCCTTGAACCAATTTGAATAATTTTATCACCAATCGATTAGAAATATTTCTACGCATCTGTTAAATTTAAGAGTTGTGCAACTGTTGCTATGATAATCAAAATTATCACAGATTGTCTGTTTTCCCTAACACAGATTTCAAAGTTGAATTCCATCTGGTCTCACCAAATGGTGTTTATTCAATCACCGCATGGTGAGTGGTGGTGTTCTCCAGTACAAAACGAAAGGCTGCCTGCAAGCAGCGAGCTGCAGCCCACATGAGCATCCATAGAGGGGGAAGAAGCCGCACCGCTATTGATCGGAATCAGTAGCTCTTCGTGATTCGCTATGGGCCATTTATGTCAAGCGCGTCATACTAAAGAGTTAACTACTGTTGATAGATAGAACCCCGCTCAAATTCATATTCCTACTGCACAAAACATAAGCTTCTGCTGCAGTTAACACATAAGATTTATTATATAAGACCACGTAGTCCAACCAACAATCAATACGAAATTAACGATTTTAAATTGGCTCACTACTTGACTAGCCTATTGGTCCCAAGCAAATCGATTATTTACCCCATTCTAGTCGAAATTCTAGTACTACACTATGTTTGTTTTGATTCGCTATGAATGTTTGACAGATAAAATGAGGGGTTAGTGGATTTTCTTATGTTTCGAGGGTTGAATCGATTAGCTTCGGATAGTACCAGAGCTGAGACAAAAAGTTCAGCACGTTTCTTAGGGACCTACTAGTCTTAGAGTTACCTCTATGCTACAACCCCATAGGGCTATCCCCTGTGTTTTTTTGAAGATAGAAAATTTTGCTATCTCACTTTACTCTTCACCCATGCCAGACACGAAGCTACTGCTGCCAGAGGCGATGGAAGTTTCGAATTGCGTTCGGGTGTACAGTAAACATCTTGAAACTCAAACTCACCACACTTTGGTGATAATCGTAGCTGGTGAGTTATGTTAGCTTGATATTTGGAGCAACGAAATCACAGCTTGTAATATCATTTGCTGTTGTTGAAGTGTTGATATTTGTCCTCGACAATCAAGCGTGAACATCGTAGAGACTTAGATATTTTCTCAACACTGGGCAGAATTATTGTTTTTCATTAAATGATCGATCCATACATAGCCATTATCCACTTTAAGTTGGATCGAAAAGGCTGCACATAACTGAAGCTTGCCTTGTAGTAGGTATTCAATCGAAATCGACTCTTATAAAGAGCAAAGTCAGAGTAATTCCAATGAAATTCAATGAGGTCTAATAGACCTTTTTGACATTTAATCGCCTTTCTCTATCTTGCACACATCTAGCGCCTTTCTCTATCTAGGGTGAATGGACGGTTTGTTTTCCCACTGATCTGTTTCCCTTTTGATCGCACTCGTTCAATTTAAATGGTGCAGTAGTGTGCGCCGATTAAATGTCGAAAAACTCTAAAGGCCGGCGCGCAATAGATATGTTTTCAGGTTTTTTTGACAGTTAGCCCATGCTTTTTTTTTTTTTTTTCCTTTATTAGAGAGATTTTTAGCCTAAGGCTAGTTCATCTCTTACAGTTAGCCCATGCATTATCTGTCAAAAAACCCGAAAACGTATCTATTGTGCGCCGGCCTTAAAACTTCGAACTTGGAAGTTGAGTTTTGCTAGCCATTCGAATATTTTGTGAGGATTGCCCAATTCTAATCTGACTGATTATCTGCCAAAAATAGATCTCTTTGCATAAGGGCGTATAGACGTTTTTGACGTTCAATCATCTTTCTCTATCTAGCACACATGGATGAATGGACGGTTTGTTTTCCCACTAATCTGTTTCCCTCTTTAAATGGTACAGTAGTGTGCGCCGATTTAACGTCAAAAATCTCTATACGCGATGATCGATTGTCTTCATCGTACAACTACACTCCCGATCATAAGTTTAAGGACAACCCCCGAAAAACCATGCAAATATGTTTTGTTCAATGATCTCTCATTTTACGTTCAATTTTCGATCTCCAAAGGTTATTTGAATGGTATGAATGGAATAGCATAAGTGTTCTACTACTACTTTTATTTCAAAATTTGGTCAACCCAATTCTGAGAAAATCAGTCACGATTCTTCAGAGTAAATTTTGAAAAATATTGTAACTTTGGGTGAACTTTTAGCACACAAAATTTGAAAATAATATTGCACAATTTGCCAACGAGGAAAGTTCCATTCAATACCTTTCAAATGATCTAAAGAGAACGAAAATTGGACGTAACATGACAGAGATATGAACATAACAAATTTGTCATGTTTTTTTGGGGGTGTCCTTCAACTTATGATCAGGAGTGTAAGCGAAAAAAATTCTAGAATTTGTTCAACGCAGAGTTGTAACAGGTTGTATTGGCTATCAAAGGCAACAGCAAACGGACCGAGAAACGTCAAATCTAGCGAGTTATTAACAAAAGAGAAAATCGATCATCGCGTTTACGCCCTTATGCATGCTCACTGTCGAATTGTTTTATTAAAAAAAAAATCAAATCGACAGTGAACGTTCATGAGGGCCCAATAGCAATGATCGATCCTCTTCGTCGATATTCTCTTTTGTTAATTATTCGCTTAGATTAACATTTTTCGGTGCGTTTGCAGTTGCAAACAAGCTTATGCAGCACTGCATTGGACAATTTTAAGTCAATTGTTTCATGTAGCTGTAGAAATTTAAAGATAAAAATCGATGAAGAGAATCTATCACTGCGGTTAGGCGCTTATGAACGCTCACTGTAGAAATAAGCTTCACTTTGTTTAGCGCTAAAGGAAAATGTTCGAATGATTATGAATCGAATGAATTTCTAAACGAATTCTTCAAAAGTTCTACTTTGATCGATTCTCTTCATTGATTTTTTCTTAAGAAATCCTCGGCTAAACAAACACATCGACAGTGAGTATGCATAAGGGCGTATACGCGATGATCGATTCTCTTGATCGATTTTCGCTTTGCATTGCTACAGCTAAGCGAAACAATTTTGTAGAATTTTTTTTTCAATGCAGAACTGTAACAGGTTGTATTGGCTTTCAAAATCAACAGCAAACGCACCGAGAAACGTTCAATCTAGCGAGTTATTAACAAAAGAGAAAATCGACGAAGAGAATCGATCATGGCGTTTACGCTCTTATGCATGCTCACTGTCGACATTTTGTGCTATTTTCGTCACACAGTTTGATAAAAGAAATTCTATTCTAGCGTTCAGATCGTCAAATACAACAGAGAATGTTTTCAACGAAAGAGAAAGCCGATGAAGAAAATCAATTAAATCCGATAGGACCTATTGAAAAATTCTTTTAGATTGCCTAGAACTCAATCATCACTTGGACTTCATAGGAAAGCTAACTCGATTACTCGCTCATCTTTTCAAATAGACCCTTCATCGACTTTCTCTTTCGTTAATAACTTGGTTACAAAAACGTTTCCTGACGTAGTTTTCGCATTGGTTGTTGGATCGTTAGTTCTTTCAGTGTCGAAAATGTATCCGCAAATTCCACGGCCATGCCGATCCAAAGAGAAAGTCAACGAAGAGAATCGTCCGGTTCAGTTTGAAATCCCACGATCTTTAAGCATGCTTCTGAAAAATTATTCCGGTGCTATTTGCTTGGAATCGCCAATATGCCGATTGAAGACTTCAATTTTGATTCTGGAGCTGAAATTTTACCCTTCAGATCGCCCAATACTACTGATCTTTGTACGGCAAATTAATCTTACTCATATTTGAGTTTCGTTCACTCGAATTCGCAAAATTTTGGTCACTCATAAAATGAGTAAATGTCACTGATATATGTGAGTGATATTTACTCATATTTGAGTCAAAATTAACTCATTCTACGAGTTTTCTACATTTTTCGAGTTTGAGTGAACGGTTCTCAAATATGAGTCAGATTAGTTTACCCTGTTGAAATTTACTGTTTCTTAACGTTCAATTTGCTTTGATGCATTTTCAAAAATTCAAAAACAGTTTTATTTTATTTTCGGCTCATTATTTCAGATTGCACTTTGTGTAAAATAGCAAAAAGAATAGAACGACACGAGCCTTCTGCAATCTGAAATGATACGTCCAAAAGGAAAATGCTTTTGAATTTTTTAATTGAAAATGCATCAAAGTAAATTGAACCTTAACTTAAAATTTCACATCTATCAGAATCTATCCACGAAAGTCAATAATTTCGCCGGACTCTTCCCAATAGTTGGAGTGATTTTCCTATTCGCCAAAATAATAGTCATAATTTACGTTGGCGACTTGGTCTTTCATGACTGACCAGTTAAATTACCATTAAATTGCAGACTGGCAGCACTGCTGCTGAATGATGCAATCGACGCGCTAACTGCAATTTGATCTCAACTGAATTAGCAATTGATTTGACCATTGCTTCTAACTGCGGTCGAAAATCGCCGTCGCAATTGATTCTGAAGTTAATCCCCTAATCAGAAATTCCAAACACGCCGCAAGCCGTGATTCCACAAAGCAAAAAAAATCGCACTATTCTCGACGAGGACATTTTTCATTCCGTTCTCGAAACCCCCTTCAATTCCCGTAAGCTTGAAAGCTAGTCCATTGCTGGAAATCACCCCACATTTGCGCCTAATGGGTCGTGAAAATTATCACCCATATCTCTCTTTATGTCAGCTTTCCCACGGTGTCTACGACGTCATTCGTGACGACTCTCTCTCTCTCTCTCTCTAACTTCCCTCCCTCCCTCCCTCCAAGCTGCTTCAACAACCCCCATCAACTGATGATGTGTGATTTCATTCGCTCACTTTTCAGACGCTGGCCTAACGGAGGAGGAAGTCGTTCTGCAGAACGCCGCTTCCGAATCGCCCGAGGCCGAGAAGGAGTTGGTCCGTGCCGCCGTGGTGGTTCACCTACGTGACGGCATGGGCTCTCTGGGACGTATCCTGAAGGCCGTTGAGACCTACCACGGAACTGTGGTGCACCTGGAGTCGCGCCAATCGCGCAGCGACGGAGTCATGTTCGACGTCCTCATCAAGGTCGACATGGCCCGGTCCAATCTGCTGCAGTTGATCCGTTCGCTGCGTCAAACCGCCTCGTTCGGCAGCGTTAGCCTGCTGGCCGAGAACAACGTCAACGTCAAGGCCCCGTGGTTCCCGAGCCATGCCTCCGAGCTGGACAACTGCAACCACCTGATGACCAAGTACGAACCAGATCTTGACATGAACCACCCCGGTTTCGCTGATCAGGTCTACCGTGCCCGTAGGAAGGAGATTGCCGAAATCGCTTTCGGTTACAAGTAGTAAGTATCCGAGTTGGAGTTGGAGCTGAAGAACCCAAGGCCAATTATTCTAACGGAACGCTTTTTTTTTTTGTGCAATTACAGCGGAGACCCAATCCCACACATCAACTACACCGAAACCGAGAACAAGACCTGGTCGGCCGTGTTCATCCGCGTTAAGGAACTCATGACCAAGCACGCCTGCTCCGAGTACGTGACCGTGTTCAAAAAGCTCGAGGAAGAGAAGATCTTCGTCATGGAACGCATCCCACAACTGCAGGAGATGAGCGACTTCCTCCGCATGAACACCGGCTTCACACTGCGTCCGGCTGCTGGTCTCCTGACCGCCCGGGACTTCCTCGCCTCGCTGGCGTTCCGCATCTTCCAGAGCACCCAGTACGTCCGACACATCAACTCGCCATACCACACACCAGAACCGTAAGTATTGGACTGAGCAGCCTATCTGTTCTTGAGGTTGATCCTAGAATTTACCGGGGAAGGTCAAGAGAGTGAAAGAATGAACTGCTTCTAATCCCATCATCATGATCTCTACGGGACAGCGTCGTCAATTTATGACCGTATTGTGGTTGACGTCGCACAAGAGCTAATACATGTACTAAAACCCGCAGGATGTTGGCGGAAGGTGGCGGAAGGAGCAGCGGAACGACACAAATCTAGCACAAGAAAGCGCGTTATGATTGCTTGAGTGTTTCCATTCATCCATTCCTTTTGGCCACGAGTGAGTGGTGGCAGCAAAGGCGCAATTTTTCGCAGTCTTTCCGACTTGGTCTTCCGTTCCGTGTCTGACTCTCTCCCTCTCTTTCTCTTTCTTTCTGCGTCGCTCTGATGTAATGTCGGAAGTGGTTGCGGGAAGTACGTTTGAGCGATGGACCGTCGTGGGCGCGGATTGCGGATGGAACGAAGAATTTCAGTCGATTTCTAGTTTTGATACTCGAGATTCTTGATTTTGATTGTTGATACTTGAGACTTGACTCTCGATGCATCATATCAGACTTCGTCCCCAACAGTCCAGAAACCGGTCCCCGCACCGTAGATCACACAAAACACTTCTTCCATTTTTCCACCGGGGGACCACTTTCCCATAAAGCTCCCGAGCGCATACAAAGGAGTCTCATAGAGAAGTCAAAATAATAGAATAAAATGATTTTAACGGAAATCACCCGGCACACACACACACACTCCATTATGCCACCGTCTCACTTTGGCTTTTGATGTCCTCAAAGTCCTAAACTTTTTCCCTGTGAGCAACGTCGTAGCTGTGGAAATGATTTCCCCCTGGAGCGAAAGCTCTGCACTGGAGAGCACTTTCTTCCGTTCCAGCAGCGCCACAGCAACAAGTGTCGGCCAACAACTATAATGGAAGCGAAGGCGAATAATTGCCGCATCCCAACCGTTCCTGGTAATGGCGCAAGCGATACAAACTCAATTAGCTCTCGGTGCTGCTGCTGCTTCCAGGGTGAACTTTGACGAAAATCGATGTTCTACATAAATTGATTTGTGTCCCACCGTCGTCGTCGTCAATGACAGCATTCCCCCCATCGCTCTCTCTCTCTCTCTCTGGCAAATTCTCGTGGGGATCCATCCTCGGAACCGATGTAATTTCCCTTATCTTATCCGATTATCATTTTCCATTTTTTTTTATTACAGCGACTGCATCCACGAACTGCTGGGCCATATGCCACTGCTGGCCGATCCGAGCTTCGCTCAGTTCTCCCAGGAGATTGGTCTTGCCTCGCTGGGCGCGTCGGATGAGGAAATCGAGAAGCTATCTACGGTAAGTTCAGTTTCATCGAAAAGGGGAGGTTAGGAAACCAAAGCACCGCAAATCCGCTGGCAGCAATGAATTTGATTTTCAAAATTTGGCGTCGAAACGGTTTACGGATTTTTTTTGATTTAAACTCTTCAAGGGTTGAATTCATTTGGACTTGGATCACCAATCGGATGTTTGCTCGTGGCTAAAAACAGAAACGCTGAAAACACTTCCGTTCGTAGCTTCTGCCCGGAGAGCGGTGACAGTTTGGAATAATATTGGTATAATAATATACCATTTGGTGGATTATTTTAACTTTTGGTTAAAATTTGACAGATGGAAAGTTATCGATTAACCCTGCTATCCGAGCGTGGTTATTTCTGACAGACAAGAAGTTAAATTTTGACGACCGTGGCTCGAAAACCGGTCGATCGACAGCACGGGGATTTTCGAACATAAGAAATAACTTTCGAAATGTCACTTTTAACTGCGAGTTAAATTTAACTCGGCAAATGGTTCACAGCCTTAATAAATCAGTAATATCATGTCAAAAGGGCCTAGCCCGAAACGTCAACAACAGAGGGTTTTTGGAAACATTCTAATTTATGATCGAAGTGTCAAATTTAAGTGAAAATTCACCAAATGGAACACAACCTGAACGTCAGCTTCGCATGAATGACAACACACACCCAGGGAAATTAACAATGTTATCTGATGGAGCAGAATTTGGCTCGAAAAAACTGCTTTTGAATTTCCAAAAATTGATGATGTCATATTTGACCTAAAAATTACTGTTTACGATTTCAGTTAGGTAAATTTGAGTTGTTGTTACTGAAATTTAATTTTAGTCCACCATTCGACACTGCCAAAAATTATATTGTAGTTAAAGATGAAAATCTTTAAATTTTTCCCGCAAATTCCAAATTTAAGCTTCACACAAGATGACAGTTGGCAGTGTTGCCAATTTCAGTTCCGGTGAAATTTTCGAATTCAAACAGCGGATTGATGTAAATGGCCGTTTGTGCTCAATAATAAGATATACTATTCAAGATATTCGAGATTTAAAATCTCAACAAATTTCATGTCACTGCGGTGCATTCATTATTTTGAAATCACCTCTTAAGTGAGGAGGTTCTTACAAAAGCATAGTTCATCATCAAAACCAAATCAAAATTACCGTTTTGTTGACTATTGGAATCTTGAACAATCGAGCTCAAGATAAATCGATCCAATTTGAACTTTTTGAACCTAGCACTGGGTGATTTCCAAGCGATAAATTCGGTTCAGTTTAGTCAAATTTGAAAACATTTTTGATCTGAAATTGACAAGCTTATTAATTTAATGGCCAATACGCTTCATTTGCTGTTAAACTATTGGACACCATTTTTGACCAATTGAACTTACGATAAACCTATTTAAGTTGAACTTTTTACAGAAGCACTGGGCGATTTCGAAGTGATAAATTCAGTTCAGCTAGGTTAAATTCAAAAATGAGTTTGTTCTGAAACTGACAGCTCTATAAATTTGATGATCAATAAGCTTAATTTGCTATTGAACTATTGGAAACCATTTCTGACAAAGGTGAACATACGACAATGACTTCTATCGAAGATTTCTAGGAATTCAAAGCACGCCTACGCAATCCAATACAACTTTCGGGTAGGGGAAGTCTTCTTCTACTCGATGGTGATGTTGATTTGCGTGGGCGAGCCTTGATTTTGTAGAAATTATCGAGAGAAGTCATTGTTTTCAAAAGCTGTTACGCCCTAATTCCAGCTCTATCTAGATATCTGAACTGCTGAAGTAGTACTGGGCGATTTCGAAGTGATAAATCAAGTTCAGTTTGGTTAAAATTCTAAACATTTTTTCAACTGAAACTGACAGCATATTAATGTAATCGCCAATAAGCTACAATATGACAATTGACTATTGGACACCAGCTCTGGTCAATCGAAATTACGATAAATCCTTTTAATTTGGACATTCTGCACTAGTATTGGGTGCTTTTGGAATGACAATTTCACTTCAGATTGGTTCTATTGGGGACTCAGATAGGTTCGACTCCCAGTCCAGTCTAGAACATCTTTCGGGTTGTAAATGTTCTCGACTTTTCTGGGCGGAGACGGCCTCGGTGGAGTGGTTAACATTAATATCTCTCACATCGTCATATCCCATTCCCGAACGAATAACCCAAGAGTGTGGAAGTGACCTCCCTGTTCATAAGAGTATCATTGTGCTTGCCCCACAATATACAAATTCATGCATTGGTTGGCAACGAAAGCTCCAAATTTATAACTGAGGAAGAGCTTCAAGAACACTAAAGTTAAAGTAGGCAAAAACTCAAGTATGGGCGCCAAAACCAGGAAGAAGAAGTGGGTAAATTATTACATTTTTCAACAGAAACCATCCACTCATTAATTAATTTGGCAATAAGCTACGATTGCTATTAGACTCTGTTTACTATTGGAGACCGATCCCTTTTTATTTTAACTTTCTGCATAGACCTTCACCTCGATTTTAAAATCGTAGTGCCGCCAAGGGGCGCAAAAATTGATAAACTTTTGGATATCGACTTAATTTTTATGAAAACTGCGAATTTGTGTTTGCTTATAAACAGACCAATTGAGCGGAAACTAATTCTAGATTAATTTTTGAATATGCCCTATCTCCATTTGTCGATCAAAAAATTGATTAACTTGATTCGCATTCTATCGCGATCAGCGCGGTTTTTTGACCATTATGATAACTACGATCTTAAATTTAATATTTGAACTTTCGATTGCTTGCATCAATTTTGCAAATCCGCCGCTCAGTTCAAGGTAGGAAGAGAATCAAATTAATTGGATACTTTGATCGACAAATGAAGATAGGACCTATTCAAAAAATCGTTTACATTGGACGTTTCTAAATGAAAATCAACACATCGCTTGAAAATGTCCGGTTTGCAAGTTAGAAGACTAAACCATCCATAACTTCTTAAAACATTTATTTTCTACAAAAAAAATACGGATCGCCCAATGCTGAAATAGTTTTAAGAAAGTTGAAAAACTTAGATATTATCCCCTCAGCTGACCGCTACTTTAAAATGTAAATCGCGATGGCTTACTCCGAACGAACAGTTATTCCTCCAGATATGATTGTCAGAGATTGCTATTTTATCCACTAGAAGTGGGCGATCTTGGTTGAACATTATCATAATCAACCTTTTTATCACTTTCGGGATACTTCTCACATACATTTCCGTAGCCAAATTCAGTACGGTCGGATCTCGCTGCTTGAACGAACTACGATGAGTGAAAAAATTTCGTTAATCGCACTGAAACGTCAAAATCCTAGCTTTCATGAAGCGTATGGTTCAAACAAAATTATTGAACCAGGATACACATTCAGAATTGAGCTAAGCAAATCACCCAAACCTGATTTGTCGAGTCCTTTATGAATGGGTCCTATGTCCATTTGTCGATCAAAAAGCGATTTACTTGATTCGCTTGCTACCGCAACCTAAGGGGTGGATTTGCAGTATTGACAAACAATCAATAGTTAAGATATTAAATTGAAGATTGTTATTATTATTGTGCGGCCTCGGTAGAATGCGAATCAAGTTAACCGATTTTTTGATCGACAAATAGACATAGTACCTACTCAAAAAGGACTCCAGATTTGAACATGTTAAGACCTTTCAACAAGACTACAAGAAATACATTTACAGATCGCCCAATGATGTATTAAGTAATTCTTTGAAGTTTATACATCTCAAGAATCATCTTCAAATATGACTACTAAGCTTAAAGATGATACCAGCTTCGTTCCAACGATATATAAAAATGCACTAGAATCAGACATGACAGTCAGGGATTGCGAATTGTTCCACTAGGATTGGGCGATCTTCGATGAAAATTAAATCAATATTAATCGATTTTTTGTTCATCTTTGGGATATTCCTTACCTATATATTTCCACTGCCCATTCCGGAATATGATAATATGATACTAGAGTAGATCAGTCCACGAACATTTGCCACACTCTTCTCCCACCCGTAAATTGTGACAGTTTTGGGTGGTTTGTTTTGGCTCCCATTCATTGCCATCTCTTTTACTCAGAGGTTAAATTATAGGGAGCAAAAAGTGAGGTTAGGATCCGTGTAGTCATCCATGCCAACCACCAAATCGAGGCCGAATTTGAATCAACACGCACTGGAATTGTGTACGTTCGCCTTTACAATTGTTCACGATCGACATACCCTGTAATGAATATCTTTCCAACAGATGATTTAGCAATGTTGATGTGTAAAAGCTTTACCTCATGTTAAACAGAACGGGTTCAAGACAATGGCAAAATTAGTTCTTAAAGTGACAGCTGGCAGACTACAGTTACCTAACAACATCGAATAAAAATCGATCATTCCGCAGTCAAAGCGTCAAAGGTACATTGTATGCACGTTCGAAACCGTCTCCTCGATCAGAACGACGACCACCCACCCTGGAATCCAATGACCTGTTCAGTAGTCAAAACAACCTTGCTTCGCAAAACCCATTAGATTGATCCCACCTTGATTGCGATCAATTTGATCCAATGGCGATCACTGCGCGTCCTAATCGTTCATCCACTTCAAGTCCAATGACCTTTGCTCGATCTCTTCATCTCCGCACCCCGATGAAATTCGGTGGGCGGGCTGCCGAGCGGAGATCATCGAATTCGCCTTCAATGATCGGGCGGTGTTTGGTGGTGATTTTATCAAAACTTCCCACCGACCCCACCAACCGATTGGCTGACATTGAACGTGCGTGCTTGTGCTTGTGCACTTACACACACACACGGTACTAGGTTAATCGCGTATTCCGCCCAGGTCCGGTGATTTATGGTGCATACGCGTAGCAATTGAACCGTATACGAGCCGTGCATGCAAGATAGGGGGCACCCGGTGGCAATTATGATGGAATCGTTTTTTTTTTTATTAGTAGAGCAAAAATGCAACCTTTTGTGAGCCGTATAAGCCGTTGATCGCTGCTGGACCAGTTCAACGAGCTTGGTCAGGGGCTTTGTGCTAATTCGCTGCTATCGGTGACCGGATCATGCGCGTGGTTTCGGGGCTGGTTTTATTGCAACCGCGGTGACTTCCGTGATCGATCGATCGGTTGGTTGACCCAAATTGGTGACGTTCTATGTTTGGTTCTCTATTTGCAGGTCTACTGGTTCACCGTAGAGTTCGGTCTGTGCAAGGAGAATAACGAAATCAAGGCCTACGGTGCCGGTCTGCTGTCGGCTTACGGAGAACTGCTGCATGCCATCAGTGAGAAGCCAGAGCACCGCGCATTCGATCCGGCCAGCACCGCCGTCCAGCCCTACCAGGACCAAGAATACCAGCCAATCTACTACGTCGCCGAGAGCTTCGAGGATGCCAAGGAGAAGTTCCGCCGCTGGGTCTCGACCATGTCCCGGCCGTTCGAGGTCCGCTTCAACCCACACACCGAGCGCGTTGAAGTGCTCGACTCCGTCGACAAGCTCGAAACCCTCGTGTCACAGCTCAACACCGAAATCCTGCATCTGACGAATGCGATCGCCAAGCTGCGACAGCCGTTCTGCTAAAGACAGCTGCACTAAGAAACTATGCTGTGAATTCCCAGTCGTCCATCAAATGACATCATCAGAGTGCCATCGGGTGCCGTCGGCCTTCGAAAATTGCCGAACCCGTCCCGTCCCCTGGCACTCGAGACCAAAACCCCCCAACGAAGCAAATGACGAACGACAGGACATTCCAGAAGGTTTTACTTTAACTACTACACACGATCAACAGCCAAAAACTGCAACAGGTCAACAACAGTATTCTCACACCACTCTCTCTAATGGACCCATCCTGGGACGCCAGGATGGAGCAATACCCCTTTGATCCAACTCCCGAACCCCACCCGTGACGCAACAGATCAACACCCCAACAACCTCGAGGCAGCTTTCGTTCATATTTTCCGGAGAATATGGACGCACCAATGAAGCAGGAGATCAACCCTGGCCTTTCGGGGCCGGGGTGGACGAAACACTTTCAGGCCAAACTTTTGGAATTCGATCAAAATTTCGCGATCTGAGTGTTCAGCGAAATCATCACATCGCAAGTTCCAAAGAACTACCACGAAATTTCCAGACAGGCACTAGAACCCTTGTTGCGACCAACCCTTCCCCTCCCCTTGTAACGTCCTCTATTTTATATTTTCATAAAATATCCCTATTGTACATCGATCATTGTAGAGTAGAGATACTTTGTAGTAAACTATCTTTTATTTAAAGATTCGTAATTTAAGTATTATTTACTATTTAAATTAGAGGTAAATCTTAAATTATTTTATTTTTGAGCTAGAACGTGTTGCAGCTTCTTCTCTCAGACGACGCGGAGTGCCACTGCTCTGGTGTGGGCCCCTTGTGGCTCCGGGCTTCTTGACTAGGGGGATCCCCCGACGCGCGCCCGGCTGGAGTGCCTTGGACTCCTTGGAGCCAATCATGCAGTGGATCTTTCCACGCTCGCGAAAGAGTGACTGCTTTTGTGACCAAAAACCATCATCCGGGAAGGTCCACCCGCGGATTGTTCCTCGGAAGCCAACCATCCAGCCTCCGTCGCGACGTTGATCCTCGCAAAAGAGCGGTCCGGCTTTTCACACGAACACACATACGGCGATCACCGGAGCAAGCCTCCCACAAGATTAGCTAGCGGAACGTGCGCGTAAAACGTTAGATTAGTGAAAATGAACAACAGCAAACGAACAGCCAAGCCTGCAACCATCCTCGACTGTCATTAATCTCAAATGTTTGTTTGTTATTATTATTTTTATACGAAGCAAAAATTATATATTTATATTTTTTTTTACCTAAGCACCCACACATTCAAGCAAAACTCATGACAACAAAAATCCTTGCTATATACACACACACACACACACAACAGCAGCAAAACGCTATCAAAGCGGCAAAAACTATATATTTCAGTAGGTGTCAAAAAATAAAAACTTGTGTAAAATGTATTAAGTAAACTAAACTCACTATAAATCAGATAATAATACATAAAGAAAGGCAAAACATTCAAGCACGGAGAAAGTGAATCAAACAAACGAAAAACGTATGTGTCTGCGATATTGTATAAGATTTTAAGAAGAGCGCTTGTTTTTATCCCAACGCGCAAGCAAACAAAACGAATGATGATGCGAAGAATGAATCCGGTTGATGTGCAAAAACACACCGAATTTTAATTGTGAAGAATGAGATAAATAATCAGTGGAAAAGCAAAAAAAAAAATCACCCGTCTTTATTATTTCTCTTTTCCCTCTACCTTTAGTTCTCTCTGTTTTTTCTCTCTCTCTCTCCCCTGAATTGGAATGATCAAAATTAGACATTGCCAAAAGCAATGGTTTCAGCTTCGGTTCCGCCCCCACGTTTAAAAAAAAATACTCAATTTTTGATATTCTTGGACTGTCATTGACTAATTTTTGAAAACTTGCTCTGCCATTTTTTTTTTCATCGGTCATTTGTTTACAACATATTTTGGAGTTATGCACTAGTTTAGGCTTAGAAACTGCTCATGCAAATGAAAAATAAACCAGCATATACGAAAAACATACAAGGCAATTGTGGTTGACAAATAAAAATGCAGCATACCTACTGATAGATACACATATTTGGTGGTGTTTCATCATCGTGGTCGTCGTACGTAAATGGTGTTTTAGAATACGAGAAGAGAACATATTTACGCTGATCGTTGGAGCCATTGTAAGGAGGATATTTTAAGGCAGAAAATATATAATTGAATCAATAAAGGACGACAGCAGTTTTCATTCCACAATCATGTCCGGTTGGCCTGGCTCATTAGAGCGGTAGAGATGTTTTCACGTTCACATTTTCCATCAAAATAGACAATAGCTTGGCTCATTGAGAGCTCGAAACAGATCGCAACTATTTGCAAGTTCATTCTAGGCGTTCATTCCGCCGATCTAAGCTTCTGTGAGTTGCTTGTGACTCCCAGTAGCAGCATTGCCAGATTGATTTTAAACTTATCGGTATCGATGGTTTTAAAAAAATCGCGTAATTGGTATCGTACTATTCCAACAGATATTTAATTTTTTTTTTTAAGCTTTTGATGGTGAAACAAAGATTTCAGACTGCAAATGTCTCTTTACTTGGAAACCATTTGTTGAAATTCGTGAAAAAATAACTAGATATCTAAGAAAATTGTTTGTGGCACTCAGTGTTGGGAAAATATCAAAAAATCAGCTCGGAATATCAAGCAAACAAAACTCACCAGCTGCAAATCTCAACAAACTGTGATGATATTGAGTTTCATGATTTTTGCTTTACATCCGAACGCAACCGAAACATCCATAATGGCTGGCAGCAGTCACTTCGTGTGTGCCATCGGTGAACAGTAAAAAGAGATAGCAAACTATACTTTCTCTTTCTAAAAAAAAACGATGTGTAACGGAATCATTTTTGTGTCGAGTCAACTCTCAGCTTGATTTTTGCACGTTTTGAATAGTCTCGCAATATCAAAGGAGCTTGTAAATAAAATCAACCATGTTATTAACCAGAACAACCGCAGTTTGGATCTTTGTTTTGTAAGCGCCCAGGACATGGCTCCTTTCTTATGCGAGGCGCCCACTCCTCTGGTGAGACTGGATCGTCACCACCCGCCGCTACTGGTGACTTTAAGTACTAAGCTGATGCATGATTTTAATATCTCACCTGCCACCGTTTCCTACGATTTTCGCAACGCCGACCATGGTAGTATCGCCGAGTTACTCTCCAATTCAGATTGGGACGACTTATTGGACACCGTTGACATTGAGTCCGCCGCTCAAACTATTTCAAATGTCTTGGCATATATCATTGACAGACACGTTCCGAAAAAGATTCATCATCATACGACCCATCCACCATGGCATACGAGCGAATTTCGTTGACTGAAATCCAGAAAGAGAGCCGCTCTTAGGAAATTCACCAAGCACCACACACTATCCCTTCAACGTCACTATTCAGCATCAATCACGAATACAAACGAGTTGCGAAACGGTGCTTTCTTCAGTATCGACGTGGATTGCAGAGAAGGCTTAAGTCACGTCCCAAGCAGTTTTGGAAGTTTGTCAACGAACAACACCATGAAGCTGGTCTGCCGTCGTCTATGACACATAATGGTAACGTGGCCTCATCTACGCAAGATATCTATCAGCTGTTCTCTGAAAAATTTGCTAGTGTCTTCACGGACGAGAGACTGAGTGACTACCATACCCGACTGGCTGCCAGTTACGTACCACTCTCTGGCCAAACCATGAGCAGAATTGACATCAATCCCGAGATGTTTTTCAGGGCTTCCTCGAAACTCAAGTCGTCGTACAATCCGGGTCCTGACGGAATTCCATCGGCGTTCCTCAAAACGCACTTGGACAGTTTGTTGTCTCCACTGCTGCACGTTTTGCAACGGTCTGTGCACGTCGGAGTTTTCCCATCCTGATGGAAGCTAGCGCACATGTTTCCAGTACATAAAAAAGGCAACAAACAGGACGTTGGCAACTACCGTGGCATTCTTTTGCAATGGTTTCAGTCGTACCTCACCGATCGCTATCTTACTGTTGTCATTGGTGATCACCAGTCCCGTACGTTCGCTGCCACATCCGGCATACCTCAGGGTAGTCACCTGGGACCCCTGATTTTCCTGATTTATTTCAACGACGTGAATCTGGCAATTGAGGGCCACGATTATCTTACGCAGATGACCTTAAACTCTACCTCCGAATTCACTCAATTGAAGACTGTTGCTTCCTTCAACGTCAGCGGAATGCTTTTGCTGATTGGTGTATTCTGAATCGTATGGAGGTTAACCCGTCCAAATGCTCGGTTATCTCTTTTTCGCGCAAGAAAGAGACTATTATGTTCAAGTATGTTTTGTTAGGCACTGAAATTGAGCGCGTCAGCCAAATTAAGGACCTAGGCATAATTCTGGATACAAAACTCTCTTCCAAGCAGCACATCTCGTACGCCGTCGACAAAGCTTCCAGAATTCTAGGGTTTATCTTCAGGATTGCCAAAGACTTCACGGATATCTACTGCCTTAAATCGTTGTACTGCTCCTTGTCTCGCTCCATATTAGAATACTGCTCGGTTGTCTGGACTCCTCACTACAACAACGGTGTCGAAAGAGTTGAGTCTGTTCAGCGACGGTTCCTGAGATATGCGCTACGTAAACTGCCGTGGACGGATCCCTTCCGATTGCCTAGCTACGAAAGTCGTTTGCAACTGATCCATCTGGAGCGCCTGTCGGTCCGAAGAGATACAGCAAGGGCATTGCTAATTGCGGATATTTTGCAAGGACGCACCGATTGCCCTGCCCTCCTTGAGCAAATTGACATCAATGTTCAACCCCGAGCCCTACGGAATAATTCAATGCTGCGTCTGCCCATACAGCGAACTAATTATAGCATGTTTGGTGCAATCGGTGGTTTACAGAGACTCTTCAATAGGATCTCCGCACTGTTTGATTTTGACCTGACTCGCCAGCTGCTTAGCCGGAGGTTTAGTTCGTTTTTTTCTACCTCAGTTTAGTTTGTTTAGTAATGTTCCTTTTTTTACGAGATGACTATCTATGTACTTATTGATGGTTTGTTTTAGCACTTTTCATGTTTAGTTTAAGCTACATCATTGGGGCAAATAACGCCTGTTGATGTTCAGTCATATAAATAAATAAATAAATAAATAAATAAATAAATAAATAAATAAATATCAAGCATGCTTTTGTGTGCCAATATCATGCGTGATATTGAGAGCGTATGAGAGCGTAAAAATATCATTTTATTGATGATTTTGCCAACACTGGCTGGCACTTTAGTGCCACTTTACCAGAATCTGAGCGGCACACTGACAAAAGCGGAATTATTCGACGATAAATTAGTTTTCATCCGTTTCGGACTCGTCGAACGATTAACAATGGAAGAAAAAAGTGTTTTCACATTTTCCCTGTTACAAGATGTTAATTTACCAACAGAAAATGTGTAGCAGTGAGCACGGAGAGATCTTCAGGATGATTGGAAAGTGGAGTTAATGGTCATGATGCTGCCAATTGATGTAGATCGTCCTCAATCACCACATCAAGGTGGTTAAAGTGGAGACTTTTTTTCATTGATTTGTTTTCCGTCGATCTTATTTTCCGTACTGAGTACCAATGCTACCGACGCCAGGGAGGACTGGATTCATGGACCGGGGGACCAAAGGCTTTACTTCCCTTTCAAAGGAAGGCGTGATCAGAGATTGTATGAATTAT